TCGGTGCAGTGCATTAAGAAGCAGATCAACTTTGGCAGTCAAAATGAAAACATACTGAATCATGGATGTTTGTATTCGGTTGATAGGGGCTGCCCAGAGAACAGACTGTGGGATTCTTTGCTGGCACCTGTTGTTTAGCCATCAAGGATTCTGAAGGTATCTTGTGTTCCTGTGATCAGAACTGCTCTACACTTAACGAAGCAGCACCTTGAAGCACCACCTTCGTTTCAGTACGCATTCATTGAACTGGATTAAGGTGCTCACTGGTCTTTTTGCAAACGAGAGACGTCTTCCTTATCAATGACAAAAATGGAAACCTTTGAATCACTGAAAAAGGGGGGACATTCCAATCTGACCATCAAAGAATCAATCACTTTCACTTTTCTTTGTCTCTCCCCGCAGTGACTTACTGCCACGTAATCTTCCCAAACTCTGGGCTGGTGAGGCTGAGAGCAGAGAACATATTCTGAGAAACATTCTTGCAACTGATATGCCCACTTCAAAACATAGCTGAGATGGTCATCCAGCAGGAATCTATCAATTTGTCAACCAACGTGCTAGGTGGAGTATCCCAAAAAAAAAAAAAAAAGCTCTGGTTTTTTTTAAAGAATTGCTGTTCTCAAGGAATTTACCCAGATGCCTGGGTGTTTCCACCTGTCCTAAGATGACTTGGATGCCTAAGTCAGTTGCAAAACTCAACAGGGCAGAAAGGGGTAGTAATTCAGGCAGGGCTTGTTTTCAAGAAAAAGCTAGAACAAACCTCAATTCATGGCCCATTGTATCTGGCATGTTAGGCAAAGAGGAAAATGAGTTCACTGCACATTAAGAGACACACTAGAGGCCATGGTCATTAACAAATCTCTCTTAATTCCCAGGTAGGGGCATCCTCCGTGTACTAGCAAGACCTGTGAGCTCTGATTGGCCAGATAGTTCCATTCTGAATGGTTCACCTCCAAGTCCTGCTTTCTAAACCCACAGCGTTTCTCCCCAAACCTTCTGATTCCTATTGTATGAGAAATCAGAACTCCTAAGCCGATGTCTCTCCTCTTCTAATTTCTTTTGAAAAATAAAATCTCTCTTCTCTGAAGGCACAATATTTCCTGATGCATGGGTGCAAATGGTACAAAAAGTACATGGTCCTGAGCTGTGCAGTTTCTCAAGGGAACTTGTCTTTCCTCTTGTCCATGATGAGCACTGGCTAGTGAAAGAAAACAGTGTCCCACTGGTCTACTCCTTCCAGGCAGAATAAGGAAGTCCACCACTAATAACACAAACAAAAACACAAAGTTCACTGCCATTGAGTTGATTCCAACTCACAGGGACCCTATAGGACAGGGTGGAACTGCCCCTGTGGGCTTTCCAACTCTTTATGGGACTAGTAAGCCTCGTCTTTCTTCTCCTATGCAGTCGCTATGAGTTGGGACTGACTAGATGGCAGTGGGTGAGCCCTGGGCACCAGAGCAATGCACAAAACTCTATGGTATAGGTAACGCCAACCCCGTATGGCAAAGGAGAAAGCACAAATGATAGCAAAACTCCCTTGAGTAAGCTGGTTCTTTCAGATTTCCAAACCGACGTGCCCTCTGTTAGCCCACAAATCTAAGCTTGCCTCAATTCTGCTACTCACCTCCTAACCAAATTGATACACCCACGTGCACACACTACAAAGCTGATTATGCCATTCCCTGACTAAGGATGTCCAAGAACAAATTCCAAGACAAGTATTCAGAAGATGCCTCTCCAGCATCGTGCTCCATTCCTCCCCACTCACTGTCCCGATTACACTCTGGTTCCATCAGGATACTTCAGGTTCATGTCGCCATGTGTCTACTGGTTCACACAGTCTCCTCTGTCCACAACAGCTTACCCATGATTTACTCAGTTATCAAGGTTCTCCCTCTCACAGAAAGCCTAAGGCCTCGGTGGTCATGTAGGACCCTCGAGAGTACCTTCACCCCAACGTGTTGTCTTTATGTCTCTTTCTCTTCTACCAGCCGGTTGTGTTATTCCAGGGGTCAGATGATGAGTGCACCTTTTGTGTCTGGCTTACCCCACGTATGTCTTGCATAAGGTACTAGTACAATGACCGCGTGTGGATCTGAAAGGGAGTCAGAAACCGAGACGACCCCCCACCCCCCAGGTCATTTCTGCAGCCTGGACCCAATGAGCACACACTCCTCGCCTTTGTAAATCTCCTGTCACCTCTTTTCGTTCCACCCAACAGTCCGATACTTGTTGGTTCTGTCATGAAGACCGACTACCACACTGACAGAGGGCAGCCACGTTAAGTCTTGCTTTTAATCATTTGGCCTATACCACAATTTAGACGGATGGCTTTCCGAGATCCTGTTTTCAGGATTCCTCTTTCTCCTTAGTTACTTCATCCCCCAGCTTGTTGCTGGAGGAGTCACTGCAACAAACCCGGACACTCACGAGCATGTTTCTTACCTCATGCCTTCTAGCAGTATTCTCCACTTCAAAAGGAAGTGGAAAGAAGCTAATCTTTACTAGCTGGTTACTTTGCACCAGATAATTGTATGAGTCATCTTACATATAGCTCATTTAATCTTTTCAACAATTCAGTGATCATTGATTCATCAATCTTCCACTTCCTCACATCCATTTAACCTCTGCTCTACTTTAGTAGCAGCTCTAATCTTAAACAAAGGAGCTTTGGTAGTGCAGTGGGTAAGTGCTTAACTGAAAACTGAAAGGTCAGTGGTTCAAACACACCAGCCACTCTGTGGAAGAAGCGACAGTCTGTTTCCATAACAATTACAACCTGGGAAACCCTGTAAGCAGTTCTTCTCTGCCCCATGGGGTCATTATGAATCAGAGTCGACTTGATGGCAATAGATAGGCTTAAAAAAATCTCTCCTGAGGCTTCAAGGTTTATTATTGCCTCTCTTGGCAATCAGGTGAGCATTTATTTTCATTTTGCTTTCAGTGTGTGCTAAAAACAAGAGATGAGTGCTTTTAAGAAACTAAAGTGCAGAGCCACTTGTACACACGTGGAGCCCTCTTTTTGAAGGACCGCACTTTCTATTTCACAATTAGCCTCTTTCCTCATGCACGGTACTTACACGTTACTATGAGTTAGAACAGATTCAATGTTAGTGGCTTGGATATTTTAAGCTCCATTTTATTCCAAAAACATCCCCCCACCCACCCAAAAGGTTAAGAAAGTCCATCAATGCAGATGCTGTCCATTGAAGAGATTGATTTTAAATTTAGGTCACTTATTCAAGAAATATTACTGTCAAACTTCAAAATAACATCTGCCTTAGCATTTACATCAGTAAAGTATTCTACCAGAGAGTCCCCCAGGAGAACACAGTCTGTCTTATTCCCAGGACCTAGCAGTGTTCAGATCTTAGTAAATTCTCAGACTATGAATGAGGAACCCACAACTCTACGTCAGTAATTAATGCTCCTTAGAAATCAGGGTGTGGGACTTCATTTCTTGTGCTTTGGACATGTTATCAGAAGAGCCAAGTTCCTGGAAAAGGACATCGTGTTTGCTAAAGCAGAAGGCAGTGGGCTCACACCTAGAAATTCTGAGGATGGAGCAGGGCAGACAACAGTCCATGAATTGGAACCCACTTGATGGCACCTAACAACAACGTTGTATTTGAGTTAGATATACTTTTATAGGTTAACTCAGGGAAACCAGCTCAGAAGTTATATTTAAAATAAACATCAAGTCCACAAATGGAAAATGTCATCTTCCAATAATAATAATCAACATCTTCCAAGACCTGACCGCTAGTATGACCTATTCCCATCCTAGACAAATATTTGTTTTCTAGAATCACTCAGATGTGTTGGTAGCAAATTCCCTGGCTGCTCCAGCCTCCAGGTTGTGAAATGCCATTCCTGGAAGCACAGTTGAGGAATGACGATATCTTCTGCAAAGTCTAGCCAGCATTTTTCAGGTGAGCATTCATTTTCAGTTTGCTTTCAGTGTGTGCTAAAAACAAGAGACGAGTGCTTTTAAGAAACAAAGAGCCACTTGTACACGCGTGGGACCCTCTTTTTTAAGGGTCACGCTTTCTAATTCACAATTAGCCTCTTTCCATTGTCTCATGCATGGTACTTGCACAGCTCCTATGAGCTCGAACAGATTCAACGTTAGTGGCTTGGATATTTAAGCTCCATTTTATTCCAGCAACATCCCCCCACCCACCCAAAAGGTTAAGAAAGTCCATCAATGCGGATGCTGTCCATTGAAGAGACTGATTTTAAATTTAGGTCACTTATTCAAGAAATATGACTGTCAAACGTCAAAATAACATCTACCTTAGCGTTTATATCAGTAAAGTATTCAAAACATTTGTCATACAATTTATGTACTAATTACCACAAGATCAATATTAAAAGACTGAAAAATACAAGTAAATAATTAAATAACCTTACTGACTTCATTTGAAATCCCTTACATAATTTCGGGACAATTAGCCCCTTCCCCAATAGTGTTATGAAATGAGTCAATAACATCATCTTCACTTTGTTTCAGAGAATACAGTCACTAGTGGGTTATAAACTCAAGGACAAAGGATAAGATACCATCACCATTTTAAATCTGTTTCTAGACTGACAGGGCAAGGTTCATGTCATCAGGCTATGGTATTATTAAAATTATTAAATCCCCTTAAAGAAGTTTCAAAGCATATTTTAAAATGCCTGACACTGAAATATGCATGATGGGCACCTATCTCACGCCTGTGGGAACAAAATCCCCATCAAGTTCACAAAGGTATTACTGTAACCAAACCAGCCAGTCGCCTGAAAAATAAAATGCATCTATGTTATGGTGTTTTCAAGCTCCTGGGAAGCGGGGCCACGTGTCTGATTCTCTGATTAAGCACGGTAGTTAACGCGGAGGACGCTGGACTATTATCTGCAGGCTGGCTGACGGATGGGGTAGGGAATGAACAGGACGGGTAGAGGCTTTCTCGGTTTCATAGGCATGATTAGCAACGGTTCACGTAACCGCTTACCTCTTCGAGTTGGCAGGCTTTGACGACACTCCTGTATCTGTACTCGTCATAGGAAACCCCGAAGACGATGTTCTCTTTAATGGTGCCGGGCATGATCCAGGAGAACTGGGAGCAGAAGGAAATTCTCCCACTGTGCCTGATTGTGCCTTCCGAGGGCTCCAGTTCTCCCATAATCATCATCAGAAGTGAGGTCTGCAAAGATAGAAAAACTTGTCATGAAAGCATTTGATCAAATCACGAGAGAGTCACTGGGCTCAAGCTGTCCTCCTCAGCAAAAGCATCCTGACTTTAAAGATGCCGCTAACCCATTTGATCCAAAAAGTATAAGCCATTTCCTGTTCCGGATACTCAGCTATGCACTAAAGACACAAGGGGACTCAAATCCACTGCCCTGTACTCAATTCTGACCCATAGTAATCCTGTAGGGCAGTCGAACTTCCCCTGTGGGTTTCCATGAGAGGCAGTAGAAAGCCTCATCTTTCTCCCGAGGAGCCGGTGGTGATTTCAAACTGCTGACCTTGCCATTAGCAGCCTAGTGAGGAGCCACGACGCCACTAGGTTCCTCAAGAGGAACTAGGAGAGATCATTACGGCTGAATGTGTTAAGGACCATGAGAGCGGTTGACCCAGAAGGGGCACCTAGTTCAGCGCACTGGGCAGCTTTGGAGGCGATTAGAGTAAAATTAGTAACAGTTCATGTTTGTTGAGTGCTTACTCTGCGCAGGGCACTGTTCAGGTTGCTTTAACCATATTAATTGATTTCATCCTCCTGATGGTCCTGTGAGGTTAATTCAGTACTGTCCTCACCTTATAAAGAATAAATTACATTAAAAATAGACGACCATTATGCTCTAAGGAGCCTGATGGTATAAGTGTCAGGCTGCTAAGAGAAATGTCAACCGTTGGAACTATGGGACAAAATGAACCAGTGACCTTCTGTAACGATGGACAGGGTCGCCAAGCCTGCGGAGCAGCTCATTGGTGTTCCTCACGGCCCCTCTGAGTTGGAATCGCCTGGAGGGCAGTGGATTTGTAGTTGGAGGCTACTCTCACAGATGTGACATCGTGGGTTACTGGTTGGGCTGCTCCTGGAAAGGTCCGTGGCTTGAAACCCCCACCCCCGAGGGAGGAAAAGAGAAGGGGCTTTCTACTCCCATAAAGCGTCCCAGGCTCAGACACCCCAGGAGCACTTCAGCGCTCTCTATCGAATCCCTGTGAATGGACTTCAAGTCTAGGGCAGTGAGTCGGTGTGGGTTTTGGCTTCACAGATGCAGCGGAACTGGACAAAGGAGTGGATGTCAGGGGAGACCAGGGCAAGAGACCTCCCCCCATGGAGCACTATAGGTTGAGCTGAGGAAAGCAAAACGAGAAAAGGGGGTTCCAGGGTATCAGGGGGACCAGGTGGCAGGTATATCAGGGAAGGCAAGAAAGAGAGTATCTAGACATGTCTAGGTCACATTCAAATAGAATAAAAGGAGAATAAAGATGGCACTTGTCCACTGCATTAAGAAGTTATTGATAACACTACAAAGGAGGGTGTGGTAGAATTCTGGGAACTGAAACCATTTGGGAAGTCGAGAAGGAAGTAAAGTGAAAAACGAGTAGATCACTCATTTAGAAAACACAGCTAAGAAGGAATTTTAAGATATGGACTTCCTTATTCATTAATTTTAGCAAATTTTATTTAAAACGTTATTAGTGTTCTCTTATGAAATCGACTATGGAAGTCATCATCTTTCCCCCTTGTTTCTGGAAATCCTTTTATACTGGAAAAAAATCAAGAGAGAAAATATAAACTCTATTTTCACTGAAAATTTTAAAAAAAGAAGATATTTCCTACAAACCCTGGAACAGTTAACAGTCCTTTAAGACAGAATCACTGCACGGGGTTTTCAAGGCTGAAATCTCTATGGGAGCAGTTGTCACATCTTGGTCTCTGGAGTTACTGGTGAGCTCAAGTCAGGGATATGAAAAGCAGATGAAACTGCGGAGAGCGTAAACAAAGCGTAAGAGAAGGTCCAGCAAGTGTAGATTCCCGTATTAGCGGGCAGTCTCTCTGACGGTGGGAGGGTCCCTCCTGAGATCAAGAAGGGGCCCAGGCACACTGGTGAGATGAGCAGGCCACAGAAAACCTTCTGAACAAAAGGTAGGTCAGAGCACAATGGAAGTGCTGTGCAAATAATCACGCAGATGATCCAGTCTTGCAGAAGCAGACTCTCTCTGGGACGGAGTCGGAATGCTAAGTGTGGAAGGTCTCCCCTGGTCCTACTGGTCACGGACTCTGTACGTAGCTAACCCACGACAATCTAATAACACTTAACTTATCAAAATATATATAATAAGAGCTGAGTACAACCAAAATAAAGATAGAAAAAATGGAGAAGAAAGGCCACCAAACAATGACACAGGATTCACTGAAGAAATGGCACAAAATAAAACAGGAAAAGTTTACACACAACTGGACAGAACTCAAGTCAGTGGGAGAAAACAATAAAACAGAAAGGAAGGCAACATTGGGTGATGCACGAAAGAGAATTCTGTGGCTGTTACAGGTACCGTTGATTCTGACTCACAGAGACTCCATGTGACTGCCCCAATGGGTTTTTTTGGCGGAGTGGGGGGGGGGCAGTGTTTCCTTTTTATTCTACTATGTTTTATGTGGAAATTTACACTGAAAATTAGGCTCCTGTTCAATAGTGTTTATGCAGATTGTTTCAGGCTCTGGTTACAATTTCCAGAATGTGCCAGTGGTCTCATTCTTCCTTCTCTTTGTTCTATCCCGGTAGATCTAGCTTCCCACTCCCTCCGTGCATTCTCCTCTTTGCTTTCCGGTAAATGTTGACCATGCGGTCTCACACATTACTCATGGGTGATACTGGTTATTTTATAAGCCAATCTATTATTTGGCTCAATGGTGACCTTCAGGAGTAACTTCAGGGCCAAATCCAAAGTATATATCTTAGATGATAAGTTTCCGAGGTTCCTGAAGTTTCCATTGGTTGAGTATGCCTGTCCTGTTTTAGGAACTTCAATCTTTCTTTTTTTTTTTTATTAGAAAAATGTTTTATTTTATTTTTTTCTAGTCATTTTATTAGGGGCTCATACAACTCCCATCACAATCCATACATACATCAATTGTGTAAAGCGCATTTGTACATTCATTGCCCTCATCATTCTCAAAACATTTCCTCTCCACTTAAGTCCCTGGCATTGGGTCCACATTTTCCCCCTCCCTCCCTGCTCCCCCCTCCCTCATGAACCCTCGATAACCTATAAATTATTGTTTTGTCATATCTTGCCCTGTCTGATATCTCCCTTCACCCACTTTTCTGTTGTCCGTCTCCCAGGGAGGAGGTCACATACAGTTCCTTGTAATTGGTTCCCTCTTTCCAACCCACTCTCCCTCTCCCCTCCCAGTATCACCACTCACACCACTGGTCCCGTAAGGATCATCCGCCCTGGGTTCCCTGTATTTCCAGTTCCTATCTGTACCAGTGTACATCCTTTGGTCTAGCCAGACTTGCAAGGTAGAATTCATATAATGATAGTGGGAGCGGGGAGGAAACATTTAGGAACTAGAGGAAAATTGTATTTTTCATCGCTGCTATATTGCACCCCGACTGGCTCATCTCCTCCCTGAGACCCCTCTGCAAGGGGATCTCCAGTGGCCTACTAATGGGCTTTGGGTCTCCACTCCCACTCCCCCCATCATTCACTATGGTAAGATTTTTTGTTCTGATGATGCCTTATACCTGATCCCTTCAACACCTCGTGATCGCATAGGCTGGTGTGCTTCTTCCATGTGGGCTTTGTTGCTTCTGAGCTAAATGGCCGCTTGTTTACCTTCAAGCTTTTAAGACCCCAGATGCTATATCTTTTGATAGCTGGGCACCATCAGCTTTCTTCACCACATTTGCTTATTCACCCGCTTTGTCTTCAGCGGTTGTGTCGGGAAGGTGAGCATCATAGAATGCCAATTTAATAGAAGAAAGTATTCTTGCTTTGAGGGAGTACTTGAGTGGAGGCCCAATGTCCTTCTGCTACCTTAATACTAAACCTATAAATATAGGCACATAGATCTATTTCCCAATCCTCGTATAAATATATTTGCATATGTGCATGTCTTTATCTAGACCTCTGTAAATGTCCTTTGCCTCCCAGCTCTTTCCTCTATTTCCCTTGACTTTCCCAGTGGTGTACTCTTCATTAGACCACGTTTGCTCCAGTAGGCTTGCTCCAGGATGGTGCATGAGTGTGAGACAAGGGACCAAGTAGAGAACAAAAGGCAGAGCAGTTGTGCAAACTCAGTGAACATGGTGTTTGTAAAGCATCCGTCTGTCATGTGTCCGGTCCTCTGGCAGTCCTTGGAGTATAAAAATGGAAAGGACCCGGTGCTCGGACAGTCTAGTACTATTCATTAGAATGGCAAAGTCAATAAGAAGTTATTGTTTTATCGATAAAATAATATATCCTAATTGTTGAAATTTTAGAACATCCAGAGATAGGCAACATACACGTCTGAGATTCCACCATGAGTCACAATTCCCTACAGACACACAAATGGGCAGGCTTTCCCAATAATGTGAACCCAAATGTACACCCTCTTTCAGGCTGTGCTGTCTTCACTTAACGGTGTAGCACACACACTTCAGAGTCAGCCTTCAACCTCCCTTGAATGACTAAAGAGGAGCCAGAGCCATGGTGGTGTAGCGGGTGCAGCACCGGGCTTTAACTGCAAAGTCAACAGTTCAAACCCACTAGCTGTTCTATGGGAATAGCATCTGTAGACAATGGGACATCCCCCCACAGAGGGGTCACAGGGAAGGGATGAGTCAACCAGAGCACAGTAAAGCACTGATGAAACACACAATATTCCTCTGGTTCCTTGGGCTTCCTCACCCCCCACTATCATAACCCCAGTCATGCCATTCATTGCGTGCGAGACCAAAGCATGTGCACAGGTACAGAGAAGAGATAAGAGCTCACGACACACAGAATCCAGGAGCAGGAATGGGTGCAGTCATACCAGTAGGGGTGGGGGAAGGTGAGGAGGGGAGGGGAGGTTGGGGGAACCAAGGAACCAGTTGAAATGACTGACACATAACCACACTCACACACACACACATCCGGTGGGATGAACAACAGAAACCGTGGGGGAAGGGAGACAGCGGTCGGTGTAAGATATGAAAACAATAATAATTTATAGTTTATCAAGGGGTCACAAGGGTGAGGGGGGGAGGAAGAGGAGCTGATACCAAGGGCTCAATAGAAAGAAACATATATACAAGTATGCTTGATACAATTGATGTATGGATTGTTATAAGAGCTAAAAGAGCCCCCAATAAAATGACCTTTAATTTTAAAAAATTTTTTTAAGATGTACAACCTGTCATTTTTAAGATGTACAACCTGTCCTACAGGCTCGCTATGAGTTGGAATCGATTCAATGGAGAGTTGTTTCTTTGTTTCTTTCTCTCTTTTTATTATTACTGACAGAGCAATATTGTTAATGTTATGAGAGGC